ACCTTGCCAAGCAACTGACCATTGCACCCCTACTTGCACTATCGGAACAGACTAACAAATCTGAGGAACAAATTGTGGAAAAACCCTAAATTGGGTGACCTGGGGAAAGTGGCAACATTACTTTGAAAGGGATGAATTTCAAAATCGTGGGGCCATACACACACATGGCTTTGCCTACACAGAAGTGAAGGTGGACAAGTTGATCTCCTTGAACACAATACATGCTGATGTCCCCAATCCTGTCACAGAAAAAAAACTATATGATCTGGTCATGAAATACCAAGTGCATCGTTGTGATCAAAGATGTGGTGGACAAGGACCAAACGGAGAGCCCTGCTCCAAGGGATTCCCTCAACCACTGTCTAGAGAAACATACTGCTCACCCAATTCATTACGTTATGTCTACCGCCGCACAAAAGAAGAGGACAGGATGATTGTCCCTTATCATCCAGAAACACTAATCATTTGGAACGGTCACATCAACTTCCAGTATGTAACATCAACTGGGTTTGCAAGGTATATCACAAAATATGTCACAAAAGCTGAACCATCTGAACTGTTTGACATTGATGAAACTGAAAAGTATCAAAAGCATGTCACAGCAAGGAGATTAGGCGCAATGGAGTTGATGATCCTTTTGCTACAGTATCCAATAACAAGATGTTCCATCTCTGTACATTATTTCTCTTCCACCCCTTCAGAGTACCATCTGAGATCAGTAAAACCAATGCACCTGCTAAACAAAAGTTACAACGATGTCAGTCATGATGATGATGGTGGTGGTAGCAGTGATGATGATGATGATGAACAAGGTGAACAAACTCCATATTGGGATGATGCCATTGACAAGTATTTCAACAGACCAGAAATTGAACCTTTCAGAAATCTCAGCTACCCTGAACATTTTCAAAATTACACAATCAGATCAAAGTCCCTGGTCCAAGATCCGAGCTGCTTTACACCAGGGACAAAAAAAATAGAATCATCACTCAATGAAGGTCGCCCATTCTTTTGCATTTCACCATTTACAAAGTGGAAGATGGTGAACCGTTCTTTTTCCAACACCTGATAATGAAAATTCCCACATGGTCAGAAGAGGGGTTGATGGGAGGTTGTGCCACATTCAGGGAAAGATTCCAATCATTGTTTCCTTTGAGGTATAACCAAGCAATTGGCTTGATCCAAAAGAGCTATGTAAAACAGAAAACTGCTGTGTCAATTGCATACAAGAAAGTGTTAGAAGCAGTTCTACCAAAAATTAAAAATCAGAATCTGTCCAATATCATTTTCACCCAATTGTTATCTTTGGAAAAGCACCATTCCCCCCTCAGCACACATTCCTCCATTACACTCCAAAACGAACAATATCACATCTACAGTATCATGTGCAACACCTGGGAAAACAATCTGATGGAAAGTACCCTTACTTCTTCCTGACTGGTAGCACTGGAACTGGAAAAACCTTTATGACAAGGCAGATGATAAATTTTCTCAATACAAAAAATAAAAAATACCTGCTACTTTCACCTACTGGGGTTGCTGCACAGAATGTTGGTGGCAAAACAATACACTCATCTTTAAAAATAAGATTCATTGACCAAAGATATGAGACATTGGCACTTTCTAACCTAACAGATAAAATGGAATTGAAAAAAATCGAAGCAATAATAATTGATGAAATATCAATGGTGGACAATGACCTTTTCACTTTTATCAGTGACATGTTTGCTAGGGCCAATAGCAACAACTTCATCTTTGGGGGGATACCAATGCTTGTCGTTGGGGATTTGTGTCAACTCCCACCAGTATGTCCCTCACATGTCTTTAAGTCACCAGCCTGGAAGAGATTCTTCCCTCTTTTTTTGACCTCATCACAGAGACAGCTAAATGACCTGGAATTTTACAGAGTCCTTCAAGAAATAAGAACAGGGGCTTTGTCAGACAAAAGCAAACAGATCATCCAGTCAAAAATTAACCAAGAAGAGGATCTTTGCAACTTCTACAACACCACTCACGTTGTTGGCACTCGAGCAGCAGCCAAAGACCTCAACACAATCTTCTTCAACCATCTACCTTTTGATGAGACATGTAACAACCTGATAGTTTCTAAATGCACTGATATGTTAGATTTTGAAATACTGGACAAGGATCACACGATCAATCAATTCAAGTACCTGACAAACCTTCCTTCCGAATTGTATCTACAAGAAGGCATGCGTGTGATGTTCCTTAATAATAAACTGTTCGATGACAACATATGCAATGGAACCATTGGGGTGGTCACCAAAATATGCGACAATGAGAATGTTGAGGTGACCTTCCCCACCCTAACCAGCATCAACAAAATTGTTATTCAGAAGGAGACATGTTATTTCGAGATCAATGGCAAGAAGGCATCAAGAAAACAGTTCCCTCTTCAAAATGCTTTTGCCTTGACTATCCACAAAACCCAAGGGTTGACCCTGCCACATGTAACATTGAATTTTGATGAGAACATATTTGCCGAAGGACAAATATACATTGCGATGAGCTGAGCCCCTTCGTTGAAAAACTTGCACATTCTCAGTTTTGACTATGCCCAATTAAAGGTCTCTAAAGCAGCATTAGAAGAATATAAAAGATTGGAAAAGGTTAATGCTGAAGGGTTGCAAAATTTGATAAGGCAGTAAAAAAAAAAATTTTTTTTATCATGTTGTGGAACAAATTCAATCTTTTCTACTTGCAGCATTTGTGTTTTTTTTTTTTTTTATATAGTAATAGTTATAGTTATAGTTGCAAGCTATTTAATATAATATTTTTAGTATTAGCATTTAATTAATTGGTGATTGCTGCTCCTGCTCCCAAGAAGAAAAACAATTCCGTTTTAAATTTTTTACCGCTTTTGTTTTATTATTATTATTATTATTATTATTATTATCATTTTTAAAATACTTGCAAATAAATTTGTGCATGTGCCGCCGCTCACTCACCGTGACATTTAACTTAAAATCTTGTTATTTGTAATAATTTATGCAATTTTCTATACAGATACATTGGAAGTTTGATAAATTTTATAAGAAATAAAAATGAATCTAATTTTTTTCTTTACATTATTTTATTACCATGACCAATCAAATTTAAAGATGGTAAAATTCTTAAAGTTGAAATAGCATTCATTGTCTGGTAAATACGCAGGCAAAAAGATGGCAATTGTAAAAACTTTGAAGATATATGGAAGATTCCTATGATCATTCCATAGTGGTTGGAATAGAAATATCCATTAGAAGTGATAAACATATTGGAATTAAATGTATTGCTAAATGTCTAAAGTTAAATCTTTCATAAAAAACATCAAATATAATCATTTAATGCCAACTATATATATATTTGAATTGGAAGAATGGTTCAAAGAACCAAGTCAATGATTATCAACTAAAAAGATTTTAGAAAAAATTTTATGAATAAGATGTAAATCAGTAAAAGTAAAAAAGTAAATAGATTTTTACTTAATTGAGATTTTGATTGCAAGATGGTCAACATATCTCATAGTACAGCTAGTTGTAATGGCTCTTTCTATAACAGTTTCACTTTATAACAAACTGAGAACTTAGGCCTATTAAAATTATCTCATATACTGCCTATAATGGTCTCCTATAATGAATTTTTTGTTGAAACAGAAGGGCCGCTATAGAAAGTGAACTGTAATCAGCAGAGGAAAATTGCCACAAATAGCCAACTGTCACCTTTACATGAAAAGTTGTACTATACTTTTGCCCTGCTATGTCGCTTTTTTTTTATGTTTGCGGATAGGAAAAAACAAAGATTATCAATATATGGTTGTTTTTCTTTGATTGTATTCAAAAAAAAATTATTTACTTTGGGGGATGTTACAATTGCTCTTTCTGCAGCAAGTTCTCTCATTCATAGACGGATTCTCAAATCATTATCAAGTTCTCCTTTCATTACTTTTATATATGTTTATTTCATCCTTATATCAGCAACATTTGAATACAGTAGAATTATACATTAGAAATGCCATTGTGAGAGTATTAGAAGAATCAGGTTTCTTTAAAGCGATCTTTGAATAATTTTGAGCTGTAATATTTTCTTATTGGAAAATTTTTTTTTCATAATATTGTAATCAGAAAACAGTTTTACCAGATTGAACAAAGTTGAATATATTCTGCAAAATAAGAAGCACACTAGCAACTAATAATAATGAATATTATATGTTTATATAAAAACATACATACATATAATATGTATGTTGTAAATACCTTCACATCCTTCATTTAACTGTTGAATTTGTAAAGCTGATTGATCAAAATATTATTCTTCATCTTTAATAAATTTTTGATTTTCTTGAATCCTAATATTAATTAGTAGTAGGAAGATATTGTGTTTGTTATCGTTGCATTATTGTCATTAGCATTGGTAATTATTAGTACAGCACCTGTTGAGAAAGTTGTTGAAAAGTTTTGTGTGTTTTTATTAAATGAATATCATGTGACCAATATAAACTGAACTTGAAAATGAAGTTAAAATATATGGGTATATATTAACATTGATATACTCTAGTTATGCGATTGGAATAATCTTTGTCATAGGAACAATAATAGTTGGAAAGAATAGCAAAGTTAACTTTGGAATCTCCAAAGAAACAAAATTGATTGCAAGATATCTCAATAATTCAATTAGTTACCTTGATATAAATAGACTATATAGAATGCATATAAGAAATGTTAAAGACATTTGTTGATAATTTGTGCAAATTGAAATTCAAATTTTAATGGTATATAAACTTGATGTACTAAGAGGATATTTTATTTATAATAATGTAAAAATTTATTAATAAGATTATACATAATGTATATAATATAATTTTATTTCCTATTATTGCGATGACAACCTCTACTACCTAATAGTAGATTCTTGAAACTGCACTTCACTCTGTTCAAAACCCGAACTTTCTTCCTCCAAAAATCCTTTTCCTTGACAGCCTTTTGTAGATCAATTAACCAATGCAACAACGTGCTTCTGCAAGGAAATATTATATCTCTAGATCCCATGACTGCAATAGAAGCACCACTCATATAATTGCAGATAGTTGGATATGGTCTATCAGTCTATTAAACAATGACATTTATATATAGTATTTTCATGAAATACATGTTAAATTACAAGTAGAAGCATGCTTTGACATTATTATATCACATACAAATTCGATGGGGACCCAACTTTTCTCCAGCTTTTAGATTACATAATTAAGAGAGCACCCTAATGAAAATCATTTAAAACAAAGGTCACACTAATGATAATCATAAAATTTTTATACAAAATGAATATAAGACAAGCAACGGTATTTTACTTTAATTTTTACCATAATAACAATGTCAATCGATTGAATTAATAATAACAATAATGTATATATAATAAAGGTGGAGGATTTGCTTGCAATGCAAAATTGTAATATTATGAATCTTCCTGAAAATTATCAAATGAAATATTGTAAGTTATTTTGAAGAATCAATTGTTTGAAATATATATGTACAATAAATATATAAATATATGCCTTTATAGATTTTTATCACGCATTATCTTGGCCACAACTTTCATTTGTGGCAGAAGATCATAAAGGAAGAATAGTAGGTTATGTACTAGCAAAGATGTAATTATTATTATTATTTCTGGTTGATATAAGAAGCAGCGGGATAAAATAAGTTTTAATAATATATATATATACAATGATCATTATAAATAGGGAAGAAGACCCAGAGGAACTACCACCTCATGGTCATATAACTTCACTTTCAGTCATGAGAACATATAGAAGATTAGGAATTGCAGAAAAATTAATGACACAAGCTCGTAAGTTTTAATTTATTTTATTATAATAATAAAATATTTATATTAACAATTTTTTTATTTAAAAGAAAAAAATATGGTGGAGGTTTTTAATGCACAGTATGTTTCATTACATGTAAGAAAAAGTAATCGAGCAGCTCTAAATTTGTATAAAGATACATTAAAATTTGAGTATGATATTTTTATTTGTTTTATTTAGTGATATTTTAATTCATAAAAAAGTGATTTTAATTGGTTTTTTTTGATTTGTAGGATTCATGAAATAGAAAAGAAGTATTATGCAGATGGAGAAGATGCATATGCTATGAGAAAAGATTTGCAAACTAATACTAGTAGTAATATTATTTCAAGTAAATCTTGAAAGGAATCCATATTGAAATATTGATAATATTAATAATATAGATAGTATTAAAGTATTAAAGCTAAAATAATATATATATTTATTAAGGAAAAAAAACTCAAGAATTTGTTTTAACTTTTTATTGTTCATTCTTTCAACACTTCCAACCATTTTCTTTTCAGATATCCTTCATCAAATTGTTTTCAACATAGGTTTTATATGTTGGAATAATTTAATTCAAATTTGATAGAATTTTTTATGAGCTTTAAATGCATGATGATTATTTTTTTAGATGGAATCCAAACTAGATCTTTTTAAATGAATGAATTAATAAATTAATAAATCAATAAATCAAAATTCAATCCATAAAATCCTTACTAACCATTATCATTTTACCTTTATCATAGAAAAGAATTGCATCACTCTACTTGCCATTTACAACCATTTGAATTTTTTTATCAATCAATTTCAAATTTGGTATTTATTGAATCATGAAATCTAACATCCAAAAGTAAAAGACCAGCTGCCTCCTCATCATTTTTCAATATTACAAAAGTCAACATTAGCTGAAAGTTTTGTAGATTGGAATACTTGTTAGAAATTAACATTGCAATTAAAGTTCGATATCAAAATTAGCATGCTGAATCGCAATTAAAGTGCTAGGTTGCAATGAAGTTGCTACTAATTAATTTAATTGTATATAAGAAAGTCAGATTCGGCGTATTTGTAAAATAACTTTTGTATTAAAGTTTAATAAACTTTAACTTTGTAAGAAGTTAATAAATTAACTTAGAAATATCTTAATAAATTAGTTTGACTAAATAAAACGCCACAAAACAAATTATTTACTAATAATAAAACTAATCCGTTAGTAATTCTGACACATGATCATAAATTTATATTGTTGTCATCCAAATAATAATAATCGATGACAATATTAACAGCTTGATTTTTTTTTCTTCTATTGAAAAGTGAGTAATTTTGAATAAGAATCTAATAAAGTTGTAATAATTATAGATGCTGGTCGCAATTCTTGGTGATGGTTGCAACCATATTTGCGACCACTTTGGTTTCCTTTTTTGGATTGCGACATGGAACACTAGTAATAATGGTAGGTTTATCTATAATTGTCCAATAATCTTTTAATTTTTTATGTATAGAATTTGCCATTATACATTCTTCAGTTGAATAATTTTGATTTTCTATATATAATTCAATACTTCTTCCCACTTATTATTATTAATTTTTCTAACATTAAAAATATGCTATTGCATCTAATAGCAACATCAAGATCATGCTTATAATAATTTTTTTTATCTCTTTAGAATAATCTCATAACTCATCACAAAAATTTGTTGATTCATTTACAAACTTTCTTACTTTGTCAATAATAGGAACTCTTAATCCCATTCCATGATTTATTGCCAAATTTAAAATATCTATAATGATGAAAACCACAATTTTCACAAGTTGTTTTCTTCAATTCACGCAACATAAGATTACTACAACTAATCATTTTTGCATCATGATCTGTGCAAGGACTTTATCATTAAGATACATTTCATTAATTAATTGAAAAGCTTTTCTTAATTCTCATAGCAGTATGTTCATGTTCAAACTAAATTAAATCAAGAAGATATAAAAATTCGTTGAAACGCGATTACTAATCGCGTTTCAACGAATGTTGAATAAAATTTTCTTATATGTCCAGCCACTTCGTTGAAACAAGGGCAGACTGCATATTTATACCAAAATATGCTTGATTTGATATTGATGTCCAAATATCTGCAGTTAATGATACTTTTACTGTGAGCTTTGATAATTCTTTTGCAATTAAATTATCAAATTTTTGATAAATTTGATTTTGTAATATTGATGTGTTGGTAAGATATATCATGAATCAACAACGTTGCACAGTTTTTTAAACCTACAGTGCAGGACACCTAATCCCGCAACTTACTGCGCCACGACGACGAATTTTGGGAAAAAATTTCCAATCAAAAA